TAGCATTTTGGGGCTAAAACAGCCTGCTTCGGGTTTGCTGCTTGTTGGTTTGGTTTGGTTTGGTTTTTTTTGCAGAGAGAGCCGTGCTTTGGTCACGGCGCTTTGAACTGCGTCGTCCTCTTACTGTCGAACAGGGGGGAAAAACAAATGTATAAAATGAACCGTCCCCATGGGCGGTCCCCAATGGATCATCTACCAACGGAGGGTGCTTTCCTCTCCTTTGCTTTTGGGGCAGCAGCACTTTGTTTTCTGCTTTTCCTTTAGTACGGGTTTACGGGCTGGGCAAACAAATTCGGCGAAGGTCAGCGGTTGGGTTTGGGGTTTAAAATAGGGATATATTGTCTGTTCCAGAAACAGCAGCTAAGCTTCAAATCATCAAAACCGGAGGTGTGGGGGTAAGCAGGGCGATGGAAGTGTGCTTGGGCAGGTGGGAGATGTCCCAGTGCCCATCAGTGTGCCAATAGGTCCTGCAGCAGTGCTGGCTGGGTGGGTGCAGCACTGCGCTGCTCTCAGCCGGCGCCGTGTCCTGGGCTGAACCCGAAATCATGGGATTAAGCTGTAAATCCCACAGCCGGGCAGAGTTCCCCTGGGACACACAGCGGTGACCGCTCCGCGGAGATAACGAGGGTGGCAAATGTCGTTGGGTTCCTGTGGGGGGCGGGAGGATGCTTGAGGGGGATGGGAGGGATAGAAAACATCGAGATTTGGGGGATAAATGACCCGGAGAGATTCATCTGCGTGTGACACCAACAGCTCCCTGCTTTTATCGGGGACATTTTCACCCTCGTCTCGAAATTGAGTTTCTTTAACCCTTTGCTTTCGGTGCCGTTAACGAACCAACGTCTGTTTCATTTTCCAGTTCCAACCTTCAGGCTTTGAATAATGTTAGGAAGCACGGCTGCTTTAATTTTATTTTGGAAGGACTCCTTTCTTTTTGCAGAAGGTGGAAGGACACTCTCCCAGGAAGCAGCTGCCCGGTGAGTCATCTCCACGTATAAATAGCACTGGTGGGAGCGGTGCCGCGGTTTGCTGCTCGCAGAGCAAAGGGGTGCAGTGCTTCTCTTTAGATGGAGAAAGAAAGCATCCATCCCTGAGGAAATCCTTGGTCTTTATGCACAACGTAACGCCAGGACTTCAGCTTTTAGAGCTGCCTGTAAGCTGTCATCCGTGGGGCTTCATGCAGCTCTGTTCCAAGGCTCTTTGCTGCTGTAATGCGTCCTTAAAGCTCAGACCAAAATGATTTTGGCACCAATGTAGAATATAAAGAAAAAAGTCACTATTAATCTTCCGTGCTGTTTATTCTGTTTGTTTTGACTCGAACCTGAAGATCATAGTGGTGAATTTCAGCCCCAGACTGGCTGTGGCTTGATTTGGTTTTAAATGATTCCTGTGAATAAGCACCATCTTTTGGTGGGTGCTTACAAACAGAAAGTTGGTTTGGACAACCTGAGGTTGTGGGAGAACCAGATTATGGCAGAGCAACTGGATAATCTCCAAGTTCCTTTCCAGCCTAAGCCCTTCTGTGATTTGTTGTGGCCAAAATAACCCGGTGCTGGCCTTAAAACAACTCAATTCCCAAACAAATCCCCTACAGACCAAAAAAAAAAAAACCTCTTCATAAAATGACGCTGACATTAAAAAAAAATCATTGAAATCCTCCTCGATTCAGCCAGCAAACCATTAAATTGCCCACGTCCCACTGTGTTATTCCTCCTGCCCAGGTCTCCCACCAGGCTGAACTCTGAGTTCTGGCATTCTGAGGTTTTCTGTCGCTCTGTTTTTCTCCCCACACGCTGCAAGAGGTTGGCAGGATTGCAGATCCAGGGCTGTGCCTGCACTGCGGGCAGCAGGCTGGCACGACTCAACCAGAGCTGCCTGCGCCCTTCTTTGCCTTCCAAGATAATTGCTCCATTTAAAAAAGCAACCCAAACTAATTAGACTGGAAGAAAATCAGGACGATTTTTGGAACGGGATGTTGTTGCTGGGTTGGGTCTTTTCATGTGTGGCACAGCCTGAGTGCTTGGGAGAGCTAAGAGGGATCAGGCACATTAAGTGGTCCCTGCCCACTCACGCTGCTCCCTACAGAGTCATTTAATTCTTCAGCTCCTGATACAAAAGGTCATGAGCTTGGGAGTTCAGTGCAGGACACAAGCACACAGCGTGCTGCACGTCTGTGCACATCACATCCATTAACCAGCATCACCCTTATGGTTTGCAGGGAGGATCCCAACACAGAGAGCCCTGAAAGAGACCTTCAGCAGAGTGGTGCTTGAAGAGTGATGCTCTTAAAATGAAAAGGTGCTGTGAGGGTGTTGGGCTGCCATGCCTGTTTAAGGTCAGTGTGATTCTCAGTGTTTTCACCTCTCTGTCTCTTCTCAGGGTCAGGGAGCAGAAGTGAGGTCCCTGTCCTGCATGTCTGATTGGTGGCAGGCGGTGAGCGAGGGCTGCTGGGTTTGGCACTGGGCCTGGGCTGAGGCTGTCCAGCTCTGTGTGTTGTCAGCAATGTGGTTTTACTTTGGAGAGAAGGGCGGACCGCAGCTCTGAGCCCAACCCAAAGGGAAACCATATCCAGGTGACAGCAAAAATTAACCTGCAAAATCTTTTCCAAGGAAAAGCCAGACTCGTCCTCGCGGGAATGGCAGCAAGAGGGGTTTGTTTGCAGGTACACGAATCCTTTTGCACAGGTGTGATGTGAGTGGGATGGGGAGCAAACTGCCTCACCCCTTCCCCAGCCCATGGAACCACGCCAGCAATGTCCCCATGTCCCTTGGGAGAGGACGTGTGTCAGTCCTTGGCACACTGACCACCTTGTCTGCAGAACAGGGATTAGCAGTGGCAAAGTGATCTCTTTATAGGAAGGATAAACACTCCAGGGTCAGGGCTGAGGTATGTCAGCAGGGGATTACCCCCAAGGTCCCCAGCTGGGTTAATGAGCTACATGGCAAAACGAGGGCAGGGATAATTTGGCGGAGAGATGCCGCTCTGCAGCGCTGGCAGCCTCTTGTGCTGTGTTTGTTGCCTCTGGCTCCAAAGCCAAACGCTCAGCTCACTATGGGCGCTCTTCTTCCCCCCGCAGGGTGTTGGCATGGCCAGCTCCCGGCCTCCCAAGTACCTCCTGGTCTTTGATTTCGATGAGACCATCATCAATGAGAACAGCGACGACTCCATCGTGCGTGCAGCACCGGGGCAGGCGCTGCCTGAGCACATCCGACAGAGCTTCCGCGAGGGCTTCTACAATGAGTACATGCAGCGTGTCCTGGCCTACATGGGGGACCAGGGCGTCAAGATGGGGGACTTCAAGGCCGTCTATGAGAACATTCCCCTGTCTCCAGGCATGCCTGACCTCTTCCAGTTCCTCTCCAAGAACCACGAGCTCTTTGAGATCATCCTCATCTCCGACGCCAACATGTTTGGCATCGAGTGCAAACTGAGGGCGGCCGGTTTTTATTCCCTCTTCCGTAAAATCTTCAGCAACCCGTCCAGCTTTGACAAGAGGGGTTACTTCACCTTGGGGCCCTACCACAGCCACAAGTGCCTTGACTGCCCAGCCAATATGTGCAAACGCAAAATCCTGACGGAGTACCTGGCCGAGAGAGCGCAGGAAGAGGTGGAGTTTGAGAGGGTATTTTACGTTGGGGATGGTGCCAATGACTTCTGCCCTTCGGTGACTTTGACTTCAGCTGACGTTGCTTTCCCCCGGAAGGGCTACCCCATGCACCAGATGACCCAGGAGATGGAGAAGAAGCAGCCTGGAGCTTTCCAGGCCACTGTTGTTCCCTGGGAGTCAGCTACCGAGGTTGCCCGCTATCTGCAGGAGCTCCTCAAGAAGAAGTGCTGAGGATGGATGGCTCCAAAGAGGTTTGTTTACGACAAACAGCTGGGAAGGGAGAAGGCTGGAAGGTCACATCCTGCACCCCGTGTTTATTTGGCACTGCTCACTTGGACTTTGATTCCTGGACTGCTTGCCTGCCTTCCTCTCCGAGCTCCTATCTCCCCAGTGATTGAAGCACTTTCTCTCCCCCTACGTCCTTTCCTCTTCCCTCTGCCACATTGAGATGAAGTCTTCTCTATGCAGCTTAGACGGCTTCTCTGCTCTTGGTGGTTGGCAACACTAATGGTATGATTTGGTTTTTTTCCCTTTTTGACTTCACAAAAGCAGTTCTTTACCATCCACAAGTCAGCTCTCCTGCAGGCTGAGCCCTGCACGTGATTCCTCTTCACTTCACCCCTCTCACCTCCTGCCCATCTCCACTCTCCATGCAGGAGCCTCATGCTGTTGCCTTGAACCCAGTGCTCCAAGGGCTCTTTGCCTCGCCAGGAAGCCACAAGAAATTTGGTCTGAGCAGTTTGTGCTGCCCAGGCTCCCCGGCTCACCATGCATCCCACTCCTTGCTCAGCAGATGAGCCTCGCACAGGAATTTATTGTCCCTTCAGACTTCATTTTCTGAAGAGAAAAATCATGAGAAATCAAGGAAACCTTTTGGAAGGTTGGTACCATGCAAAAATAAAAGGCAACCCTCCTTCAGTTCCCATTGCCCTCACCCCATTTTTCTGGGGGGGAGGCAGAACGGCCACATCCTGCTTGAGGAGAAAGACCTGACTTCACCTTTCTCTTCCTCCCCATCACTTCTCCTCCTGGGGCAGCAGCCCCCCAGTGCAGACAGCTCATCTCCATGTCTTTGCTGGGTCGTGTTGACAGCCCTGCAACCTCCTGCCTTGGTCCAGAGGTGCTGAAATCCTCCCATCTGGAGAGAAAGGTGCTTTAGCACTTCTGGTATCAGCTCCCCCAGAGGCCAAACCCTCTTACACCACCACAGTGTTAATTGCCCATTCTAATTGCACTCTGTAAAAGGGAGCTTGCAGTATTTTGCTCTCTGGTGTTGGCTTTTCCTGGATTTATCCACAGCCTTAAATGACCCCCGAGAGTGGCTTGTAACTACTCCAAAGCATAGAAATCCTGGCAACAAATCAGAGAGGTAAGGAAATAACCAAAGTAGCCCTGAGATGATCCTCCTTTATTTCATTTTTTCCCCCTTTTCTTCGTTCTTCCTCGTCTGGACACTGTTCAACTGAGTGGAACTTAAAGCCATGGAATTAAAAAAAAAAAAACATATATATGTATATAGATATATATCTATATATTACAGATACACAAGTTCTTTGTATCCAGAACATAAACCTGAGTGTGAAATGGCTCTGAGGTGCACGCACATGGTGTTTCCCTTCCTCAGGCTGCAGGAGGAGGCAGGCAGCCTTGGGAACTGACCAGGGGAGCAGCAGAGTGGGGTTGGATTATAAGCAATGCTCTGCAGGTTGGGCCTGATCCTACAGCAGCCCCTTTGGTGCAGGATTTAGACCTGGCTCAGCCTCCTCTCTCTCCATCTCAAGCAGCTGCAGATAGGGAGCAGATCCTCTGTGGTTATTGCTCTCCTCCTCATGCTTGTTTGTGATTTCTGAGCTTTGGTCCTGCTCTACCATCAGTTCTATGGGTTCAGGAGCAGCAGCATCAGGGCCAGCCCATGGGATTTCAGAGCTTGCTGCTCTCCCAGTTCCAGCAGTTTGAGGGACAGGGGAGTTGCCTCAGTGCCAAACCTTCACAGCATCTCCGAAACAGCGATTGCTGGTGTCATTAAAAAAAAAGATAAAGGGTGGCAGAGGTGTGAGGAGCAGGCAGGGGGATGTGTGGGGCGCAGGCAGCAGCATGTGGCATGGGGCCATGGCGTGGCTGCAGCAAAAGGGCTGAGCTGTGCAAAGCCAAAAGCCAAAGGCAAAGTGGAGCCCTCGCCTCCTGCACACGGCTGAGCTGGGTGGGCAATGAGGGGTCGGGAAGCTCCTGGTGCTCAGAAGGGCTCCACGTAATTGCCAGGGAAGAAACCTGCCTCCTCGCCCAGGATGCCTTCGCACCATCCATCAGAGTACCTCCGTGTGACGTAGATGAGGGCCCCAGGCTCGAAGGAGAGCTCGTTGTCCTTCTGCCGTGTGTACGGGTAGAGGGTCAGCACTGTGCAAAGAAGGGGAGAGAGGCCATGGAGCAGAGTGGGGACAGCTGAGATGGGCAGGAGGAAAGGGCTGCACTGCCCTGTAGTGGGGCAGTCACATCCTCAGTGCTGTGACCACAGTCAGGGCCAAAGAATCTGGTGGATCTCAGCAGATCTGACCCTTGGAGCTGCTGTACCTTTGTCCAGGTAGCTCTGTGGGGCGCAGAGGGGTTCCTCTGCAGCTGGTGGTGGTGGTGGTGGGGTGAAATCCTCAAAGTTGGGCAACACTGGTGGTGGTGGCAGTGGTGGCTCGAGGTCATCGGGGACTGTAAAACAAATTCAGTGAAGGCCAAGGGGCTCCACGTGGAACAGAGACCACGCACAGCATTTGTGTTTGAAATGAGCACCCCGGCATCCGCAGACACTGCAGCACTCACCTGGAAGGCTGAAGTCCGGTGGGGGCACAGCCAGGTCCCCTGGTGGTGGTGGGAGCAGATCCCCAGGGAGAGGTGGGGGTGGTGGGATGGTGGCTGCAGCCGGGGTGGGTGGTGGACCTGGTGGGGGTGGAGGTGGGGGTGGTGCAGGGATGCCTTCCCCAGGAGCTCCTCCACTCGAGCTGAGGATTCAGAGTCAGGGAAAAGATGTGTGTGAGGGGGACGACGATGTCACCATGGGCAAACACCCCAACATCTGCGTGCAAAGCCATTTCCCCATTCTGTGCCTTAGCTTCCCCCTTGGGAACCATCTATGTCAAGTTTTTTTTGCTTTAGAGATATACAGTGAATTTCCTGCTCCCCAGAACCATATTGCTTATCAAAACCTCTCTGCAAACAGATGCAGTAGGGTAACCACAGCTGCCCCAGACCCACTAATCCTCCTCCCTAGGCATTCCAGATCCCCCCCCAGGTGCAGGCTGGTACCTGACTGATGTCAGTGAGGAGGCTGATGAAGCTGCAGAGAGCTTTCCCTCGGGAATCACAGGAGGCTGGATGGGCTCAGGGACACGAGTGCTCCTCCTGCCAACAGAGCAAGCGCTGAGCCCACGCTGCCTGGTGATGGCATCAGGGCAGGGACAGGACACTGAGGGCAGCTGCATTAGGCAGTGCACCCATGGCTCTGTCCCTGCCGTTGTCACCTGCTCAGCGACACCCAAGGCAGAAAGATTTCCTACTGCACACCACCCCAGAAGCCTCACCCTATGGTGCTTGCAGACTGTTGACTCTTGATCCCTTTCCGAGACAGTGTGCCTGTGCGGGACAGCTGGGTGCTGTGGTCCTGCAGGCAGGAGAAGACACAGACATATGGACAAGCTCATTGCACCCCATGCCTACCATGCCCCTGAAGTGCCCCCAAGGCCTTTGCTGAACCCTTCTCAAAAAGATGGGGGCTGTTGGAAGCTGCCCCAGCTGATAGGAGCAGACGTCTGCTGTGTGGCATTGCCACCGTGGGAACTGCAGCCCAGCACCACCACTTCCCCTCCGACTCCACGGTGGTTTCACACTGTGCACGTGGCTCTGATGCTGCTGAAAACCCACAGGCGCCTTCCGGTGAGAGGCAGCTTACAGGGGCAGTTTCAGTGCTGAAACAGCACTGGGGTAGAACAGCAGCTCAGCCCCAGCCTTGGCTGAGCAGCTCTGGGACTGTGTGCCTTTGTGGCACTAACAGTGTTCCGTTCCCCTCCTGCCCCAAGATGAGCCCTGCTGGGACAATTCCTGGAGTGGGCTGGGCGAAGTATGGAAAGATCCCAATTCTCCTTCCAGGAGGGGTTTGTGATCACAGAAAGTCCACCTGAGCCCCCACCTTCCCATGGGACACCCTCCAGACTGACCTTTATGCCATGGCCAACGTCATCCAGGATGCTGAAGTTGAGGGGTTTCCTGTAGTAGGGCTCCAGGGACGGTGGGTTGGGGGGGGATGTGATCTTCTGGTGGGATGGGAACCTCTTGCTGACAGTCAGAGAGCCAATCTCCCGGCGAGACACTTTCTCCTTGTGCATATCAACACTCTGTAAAGATGAAAGGCTTTAGGAAGCCTTCAGGTGTCAGGAAGAGGATGAGTGGCTGCAGGGCTCTGTGTCAACATCCCCAGTTCTCCAAGGGGACAAGGCCAGTATCCACTGAGGGGGGATTACAGCATCTGAGCCCTTGTGACTGCTGCAGGGCGGCTCCTTGGGGGTTTCCCCAGAGGCCGCCATGGTCTCCAAACACTCAGACCAAGACAACCCCTCAAGAACAGTTTCTCACCCCTCGGTGGACTTTTCTTTAGCACGTTGGGTGACCAAGGTGCTGCAAGGGCTGACAGGCCATTAAAACCACAGGGAAGGATGGTCTCCAGTCCCTATATAAGCTGCTCCCCTTTTTCTGAGGCCAACCCTTCCTCAGGGCCCAAACCCCACAGCAGCACAGACCCATAACCAGGCAGTTGCTGAGGTTGGACCCACCTGGGCTACACAGCTGATGTTGGCCTCCAGCTTTTGCAGCTCGGCTGCCTGCAGGTCCAGCAGCTGCAGGAAGGTGGTGGCCAACCTGCTGACCTGGTAGGCCACGCTGGCCAAGGACTGCGTGCTGAACGCCATCGTCTCCTCCAAAGCCTTCCGCTTGTCGCTCGCCTGGAGGGTGAAACACGGCCGTGATGAGCTGGGAAGGCTGACAGCACACAATGCTGCTGCTGCCATTCCCACACTGGGGTCACAAGGGAGCGAAGGGGCTTCCTTCTGCTTTCCAAATGCATCACAGTTCCTCCAGCTCAGGCGGTGGGACTCAGCGGTGCTCAGCACCACCAGGGTGCGGTGGGACAAGCACAGATGGGGGTCAGGAGGGTCTGTCCCAGCCCTGTTGCCAACAGCTGGGGAAGCAGTCTCAGTTCTCTGAATTGTTTTGCATGCTTCCCCTTCAGAGATACAGCTGGGGGCTGTGAACCGGCCAGAAGCTGCAGCAACAAGAAAACAACCCAGCCCTAGAGGATGCTTAATTGAGGCAGCAGCAATGTCTGGCTATGGGACAGGGAATGCTAGGGTCACAGCCCCAGATGGTTGGGGGGGCACCCGCCCCCTCGGGTCTGCCATGGGGAAGTGAGGCCAGCAAGGTAGGATCCTTAAAGCACCCAGGAGACCCCCAGTCACAGCACTGTCCCCAGCCAATGGGGCCAAACAAACCCTTTTGCATTCCCTCAGCAGATCACAAGGACAGCGGGGAGGAAGGCAGCACAGAGCCCAGTGCCCACCGTGTGCTGGGAGGGAGAGAGCATTGCGCAGCACCTCCCGAACCCCGAGCTGCCATCCCAGCTCCCATCCAGCACCAAAACACCTGGAAGACCCCCCCCATATCCCATAACCCTGACGGATGAGCAGAGGGGAAACTGAGGCACAAAAGCAGCGCTGAGAGCGCTCAGTGCTGGTCAGGAAATGAACGGGAACAGCAAAGCCTTCGCCCTCGCACCATCCTCCCCACCACCACCACAGATCCCCCCTCCCCTCCCATCCCAGCGACCCCCCAGCCCCACACCCCACCTGCAGGTAGTTGCTCTCGCAGTACTCAGCCACACGCTGCAGGTTGCTGTGGTTGTCACGCAGGCCCTGCCGTGCCGTGGGGACATCGCAGGGCTGCAGCGGCTCCGCCATGGTGCTGGGACTGGAGCCCACTTCCTCCCCAGCCTCTCAGGCGCCGCGTTTTGAAGCTCGCGGCGATGCTGACGCACTGCTCTGCGGATGCCCTGTGGGTTGTCACCTCTCCCAGCTCCGCCAGCTCTGCCGGCCCACAGCCCCATGAGGAGTGGGCTTGGCAGGCTGGGGGCCGCCATCTTGTCTGCCATAGCGGTGGAGGCTTGGGGGCATGGAGGGGTGGAACCTGAAAGCTGTTGAGGTGCTGCAAGCCCAGTCCCCACCAAACCTGCCCTTCACATCCATACTTACCGCTGCCGGCGCCCGCCCCCCCGGCCCCCAAATTCAAACGCCCCCATCAAGGGGGCCTTCATGAGGTTGAAGGCAGCACAGCCCTGGGCAGAATGGCATTTCCAGGACAATGCTGCATTTTGGCTTCTATCGGACCAAATTTGGCCACTTCTGGGCATTTTGGTGCTTGCATCTCCATCCTCTGACAGAGTCCATTAGGCACGGGGCCAGGCTTGGCTCTGTTGCACTCAGCGGGGGGAATTCCCTTCCCCTTGCCTTTATGGGACTGGCAAGAGGAGATCTAGCCTCAGGATGGTGCTTCCATTGCCAGCTCAGGTTCCCCAGACGGCCCCATGCCCCCACCTCGCCCAGTTCAGGTGCAGCCATCAGTTTCTGCTTGCTTCTGTGTGCCGGGACAGCACAACCCTCCTTGGTGCTTTGCTGATGGCCTTTCCCATCCCCACAGCACAGTGCCAGAGGCCATGGCCAAGGGCAGGAAACTCTCACTTCCCAGCACTGGGAGGGTCCTTTGTGCTGGGAATCCCCCTCCACCTCCTCCTCTTTGCGCTCCCTCGGGGCCTCCTGAACTCTGTCCTCAGCTTCAGCGTTGCGCATGGGCCAAGCAAGAGCCAAATGCCCATCGTGAGCCCACAGCAGTGTGAGGATGAGAGAAATGATGAACCAGCTCTGCTTCTCACACCCTCAATTGCCAAGAGCCACCCCAAATGCTTCCTGGACCCCCACCGTCCCCTTACCCAACCTCTCATCCTCTCCATTCCCTCCTATGGTGGAACCTGTTCCAGCTCCCATAGCGGATGCTCCCTTTGCTCCCCTAGCTGGGTTCCAGCCCTGCACAGGCTCAAACACACACACTGGGAGCTCAGGGGCTGTCGAGTGCCCCACAAGTACATCTCCACCCTTGCCCTTCCTCCCCCATCTTCGCCCTCTCCCAGCCCTCCCCTATGGCCCCACCACTGATTACCCAGAGCTTTGAGGCTAATGCCCAACACCTGACCAGCTTATTCTTCTGAGTCTATTATCAGCTTAGGGACCAAAGACATCTGCTCCCTGCTCCTGGCTGGGAGATCTGAAGGAGTCTTCAAACAGAACAGTGCAGACACAGAGGACGGCGGCTCGATGGGTTTCTGAATACTTCCAGCACTGAGAGGGGGAGCCCCTCATCCACACAGGTAAGTGGCTTTGCTTCTTTCCCAATGCACAGAGGCATCACCACCTCCACAGGTTGATAAAAACTGCAGCTTTTATCTCCTTGGGACTCATCATGCCCTATAAGCATTGATGGGGAGAGGAGTACTGGGTATGCATGCCATGAAAACAGCCACACAAAACCAGTGGGGTCTGGGGAACAGAAGTTTGATGCCTTCCAAAGCAGGGACAAGGCACACCGCTGCTTTAATCACATTCCTCTTTATGATTTAAGAGGTTGTGGTCAGGCTTTCAAGCTAAGTTTTAATATGGGAGCAGCACGAGGCAACTCTCCAAATCTCTTTTATATCCCTTGGATGCACCTTTGTAAAAAACAGATGAGCTTTTCCAGTTCACACCATGGAATGTCTCTGTGCCACAGAGATAACAGCAATGAAGGGACATAATTCACACCATCACTTACTTGCAAGGGTGGCACAATGAGTGGAGGAGAAAACAATAGTTTAGTTCCTCACAGTGCCTGTGGGCTGCTCCTGCCCAAGCAGAAAGGTGTAGTTACAAACTCACATTGGGAAGGCATCGTCTGCACCTATGCTGCACTGCTTTGTTTAGGAGATGCTGTGTAGTTTGGTACATTCTTATCTGGGTTCTCCTAAGATGCTGCAAACCCAACAGACCTGCAGTGCAATTGGTTTTTCTGTGGGCTCAGCCAGCCCCACTGAACCAGCCATCTCTTGTCCTTGGGAAACAGCCTCTGCTGTATGCAAAGAAAGGGCTGGATCTTCTGCTGCTGCCTTCAAACCACTGTTTTTGCTCCATTTGTCCAGGTGAGAACAAGCAAAACAAAATTTGATTACTGCAGTTACACTGTGCTTTGAAAGGTGCCCGAAAACTTCAGCTGAGACGTTATCAGCATTTGCAATAGTGTTAGGGCAAAAGCAAATGCCTTAGGAGAAGCCTTACTGCACTTCAAGCACGCGCCATCTCTGTTGGTTACAGGGCAGAATGGCTCAGGATATGACAGAGAAGGAACTGCTGAAAATGGAACTGGATCAGCTGAAGAAGGAGGTAAAGAACGAGAGGCAAATGGTGAGTATTGCCCCAAAATGCAAAATGGGGAGCAACCTTGGCACCCTGAGGATGCTGATGGGGCACACCACAGCCAAGGGCAGCTCTGTGGTTCCCTCTCCCAGAGGCTCACATGGATTTGTAGGCAGACGATCAGCAAGAGAGCAGCTCTGCAGTGACTGCTTGTTCCCATAACCCACACGAGGCGTCTCCTTCCTTCCTTCCTTGCAGGTCTCCAAGACCGGCAAAGAGCTCAAGGAGTACATTGAATCCATGGCAGGAGAGGATCCACTGCTGAAAGGTGTCCCTGAGGACAAGAACCCCTTTAAGGAGAAGGGCGGCTGTACGATAAGCTGACATCCTTCCTCCTCCTGCACCGCCCTGCTTGGGCACAGAGCCATTCCCATGCTCAAGCCAAGACTGTCAGAAACCTGCTTTCCCTATAGTCTGACCTCAGCACTGGGGAGTACCAAAATAAAGTGTAGTTGCATCTGAAGTAGCAGCAGAAAAAAGAAAAATTATGAGAAAAAAGAAAAAAAAAATCACCCCTGTGATTGCAGAGATGAGGTGCAGCAGACGGAGCAGAGTGTGTTTGTGTGCTCCCATCACTGATTTATGGTTGGTTTCCAGCAAGCAAAAGTTCTGTGTTTTCAGCAGGCAGCAGCAAAGTGGGCTTTAATGGCACAGGTAGGGCTAGGAATGGTTTGCAGGTATAGGGAGGGTGTAGGGCTGTACTGAAACACGTAGGGCTGTACCTGGACTCCAACCCCAGGCATCCCAGCAGCAGGGCAGGCTACAAAGCCTAGAGCTGAGCCCTGCATCCCCACTCGCTGGAGAGAAGCATCCCGGTGGGACCTCGCTCACGTTATCGCCTATCAGTGCCTCAATCCCCCATCTGGCACAGGCAGACAAACACGCTCTGATGCTCCCAGGGGTCTGAAGCTTTCATCTCCTCATTCATAACTCCGTCCATCGCTCACAGATCGCACCTCCCACCCGCAGTGCGTCTACAGGACCGGGGGAAAGGGGACTGGGTGAGGGGGGCCGAACAACCCAAGCGGGGCACGGGAACGAGCGAAGCCTCCATCAAAAACATCAGCCTGCCTCCGGGTCCTCCTCGGGAAACCCTCCGGCAACCACAAGAGATCAAAGCCCGGAGGTTTACAAGTCTGGTTCTGCTCGAAGCACCGCCTTGGCTTCACCTTCCGCTCCGTGCAGCCGGGGAAGAGCGGACCGCCTCCATGCGGGCAGAGGCGCTGCAAAGCCTCGTCCCGCAACGTTTCACCGTTGATAAGGATCGACTCGGAGCCGGCAGTTCTGCTTGGAGGTGGCACAAAAACCGGGGCAGATTGGGGCGGCACAGAGATGAGGTCGATGGGGTGCAGGGGCCCATAAAAAAGGGAAAATAAAGGTTTTGTTCTTCCTCTCGCGGAAATACTGAATAAATCCACTCCGTTCCATACGCGGTCTCTTGTCTCTCTCGTACCCGCGTTCCCGTGCCAAAAACATCATCTCGGGGCCAGCATCGTCCGTCCCCGCCGCTAACCCCGGCGGAGGTCCCATAGAGCTCCGCGACCCCTGAGCTCAGCAAAGACAGCCCGCTTAATTCCGGCTAAACCCCGCGCCAAACCCCACTCACCCACGCACCGCCACCAGCCCACCCCTTTCTGACCAGCCGCACCCGCAGCTCAGCCCTTATCAACGAGCCCCGCGATAGCTGCGACCGTAGAGGGAGGGGGGAAAGTTACCAGCCAATAGCAACGCGGGAAGTCGTGAGTGTCGTCCCGCGCCCCCAATCGGAGCCAGTTCCTGGATTAACTCCCGCCCCCCCTTAACACCGCCCCCGCCGCTCTTCCCGCGCATGCGCATCGCGGCGCCGGCGCCCCCACACAAAATGGAGCCCGGGAGGTGCGCGGTACCGGTGGGGGGGCGGGTGGCGGAGCGCGGGGCGACCCTGCAACGCTTCCCGCAGCACCGCGCCGCCGCTGCCGTCCAGCGGGTTCAGCGATGAGCCGGGGGCAAAAAGTACGGGAGGTCCCACCGAGATTTGAACTCGGATCGCTGGATTCAAAGTCCAGAGTGCTAACCATTACACCATGGGACCACGGCATACGCGTTGCGCCACGGCGCCTTCAGGCTTTGCGCGCCGCCGCGGGCGTCCGCCCCGACCCCAATTCTACCGTGGGTCCCGATGGAGTCCGCCTCTCATGGCCCCATATCTGCCTACAGCCCAGTGCCGGCAGCAGCCCCGTTCGCCTCCCCCGAAGCTCCCGCTGCTTTCCTTTTAAACCGGGACGCCCGTCGCCGTGACCCCGTTCCCCATCCAGCGGCAAGAAAACGGCATTCCACCGTCCTCCAAACGCCATTGAATTGTGACACGGGCTTGGGTTCCACCGCCGCTGCTGGATGGCCCCGAGCACGCGTGCCATCGGCCCGTGCACCCCCCGGCACCTCCATTTCTTCGTTCCCCCCACCCCACCAAATTGATGAAAAAAATGCACAGGAACAGCATTAGAGGATTTTTTTTTTCCTTTTTTTTTTTTTATTTTAATTTTTTTTTTTTTTTTAATGAAACAGTGGAGTAAAGCGGTTTGTGGCAAAACCTCGCTGGGAGAGAAATGAAACCTGCATCCATCCACCATCCCTGCTACTCCACACCCAAAGCAACGGCTTCGCGGTGTGGGAAGGATGGGGGCAGAGCAGGCAGAGGAGGGGAAAGGTAGAAAGAAACAGCCAAGAGGAGGAACACCAGCATCGGCCCCGTACAGTACAACGGTATTGAGGAACAGCCTGAAATCACACTGGGGCGGCTGCTGGGAGACACTGCTTTGGCCATTGGTGTGGTGAGAGCCCTTGGGTGCAGCTGTCCCATGGCTCCTGGGTGTGGGGTGATCGGGAACCCAGAGCTGGCTCAGTGGGATCAGACTGTATGGCTGGAAGACCAGCTGCTCAGAGCAGTGCTCATGCCATCACCAGCCCAGTGGCACCAACCCAATGCCACCAACCCAGTGCCACCAATTTAGTGCTGCCGGCTCAGTGCTACCAGCCCAACGCCAGCAACTTGGTGCCACCAACCTGGTCCAACCAAACCAGTGCCACCAGGGAGCCACCAGCCCAACTTGGTGCCACCAAGCCAGTTCCACCAATCCAGAGCCAACCTGGTGCCACCCATCACCCCAATTCCACCAACTTGGTGCCACCAAATCTGATTCCATCAACCTGGTGTCACCAACCTGGTACCACCACCCCAATTCCATCAACTTGGTGCCATCAACCCACATCACTAAGCCACCCACACCCATGGCCATTGGGAAAACCATTGAATGATGGCCCCAGCATCTCCCACCCATACATGATGGGGTTCAGCCCCGTGACGCCGGGGAGCTGATGGAGTTCTACTGCTGACAGAAGTAAATATCAAAGTTCAAAAGGGAAAAAAAAAAAAAAAAACAAACCCAAAACAAATTTAATGGAAGTTTGAGCATAAAAAAAAAAAAAAGATATAGTTTAAAAAAAAAAAAAAAAAAATCAGTCACAACCAAACGGTTTGGACTGCTGAGGTCTGGAGCTTTTACAACTAACGACCACTTTAAAGTGAAAAGAAAGCCCGTAAATTCTATTTTTAAAGAACATTTTTCTTTGGAAAAAGAGTAATTTTTTTTTTTTTTCCCCTAAACTACAGCATGTGGAGTTGCCACTACCTAGTTTTAATCTATTGTCACTAAGAGGTAGATAAACAAAAATGACTTGGTTATATAGGAGGTCGCGCCCCGGGGCTGACGTGGTGGAGCAGGCAGACCCCCAGCTCCAGGGCTTCCTCTGGGGCTTTGCCTCATGTAAGGTGACCCCCAAAAGTCGTCAGGTTCCGATACAGCCACCCAGAGCTGGATACAAGGCAGTATCAGGGGAGGGGGAAGGCACATGTTGGGTCTGAGGACCGGATTTTGCCTCCTGAAAGTCAACGAAAGTTTGATGTCAACACTGAATCCAGATGTGCTTCAAACGAACCATTATCTGCTGGGTAACGAACACTTCAACCCATTCCAGTGATTCTCACCGTTTCCACTCTGATTCCAGACAATCCCATCTGTTTTCTGGGGTGACCCCAGTGGCAGTGGGGGGCGTGGGAAGGATGGGGCCCTGTGGGATGCTCTGCCCCAAGCGCTGCATCCCCACGGACAACAGCCTGTGCTGCTTTACAGAGACCATTTACATGATGGGTCTGAAAAAAAAAAAACGGCTTTGGTTCTGCTGTACAGCTGTCTCCCATGCCTTAATTTGGTGCTGGTTCTTTTTTTTCAAGTGAAAAGTTCCTTTTCATCATTAGCTCATGTTGATGTTTTCCAGTTCGTAACCCATTGCTTTGCCACCATGGCCCAACACAGCATCCCTACTCAGAGCATCTCTGCTTAGAGCTATTCGCCCTCACCAAAAGCTACAAAATGCATAATGCAGCAATGGGTCAATTCCCAGCAGGCCCAACGTACTGCCCAGTGACCATTCCAAACCAGCAGCCCCAGCAGTCTTCCTCACCAGCTCTCCTCTTCTGCACTGCAGCTCTCCCTTGGGATGTCCCTGCAGTCTGGGGGGTGTAGGGGCTGTGCCCAAAGCTCCTTCATGCCCAATGCTCAGCCCTGAGGTAGTTTGCACGTGTGCGTTCGCAGCATCTGCACCTTCTCCAAAATTCAAGATTGAAGAGCCTCTCTGCTTCCTGGTTTCCCTTTGGGGCTTATCCAGAATCACAAATGTTCCAAAGGGGGGAAAAAGAAGAAAAAGAAGAAAAAAAAAAATATAGAAAACCACCAAAACGATGAAGGAAGGTCGAGGCCGCTGAGCGAGGCTACATTTTTCCCTTCCTACTCCATACCAATTCAGAGCTCCCATGCCCTGCACCACCATGGCTCACACCTCTGATAGGACCTGGAGCATCACTCAGCTCAGAGCTGACCCCCAGCTCTGCCCACAAATGGACCCCCAGTCTACTCAGACCCTTCCACCTGCTGGCACTCAGCAATGAGCAGCCATTGTCCTCCTCTCCCTTTCCAGGAAGATGGAATGGAAACTTCTTGAGCAAAATCACTGCCAACCACTGTTCCCAAAGCAAATCTGCAGCCCAAATCCTTCACCTCCCATCTGCACAGCCCATGGACAGGCCGGAACGTTAGCAGCAAGAGTATTACTGGGATGGCTGAAGGGATGCTTAGTGGAACATACACTTGTCACAGGCTCACACTGACTTCACCCAAAGGAAACAGAAGCTACAACAGAGAAGAAAAAAAAAAAAATGGAAAAAAAAAGAAAAAAGAAAAAAGAAAAGACACCATAAAACCCAGTGCTGCCGAAACCCCGTTGCCTCAGATGCACTTTGAGGGCTGAGAAAATGGGCAGAGCCTGAAAGGACAAAACAAAATCTGATTTTTCGGTGGGGTTTATTTGGCTTTGTTTTTCATTTGCCTCCAGCTGAAAGACAACACAACATCCTGACAGCATGAACACAAACCCCATAACCCACACAGCATCGCTTTGCCCGGTGCATGGCCCTGAGGACCACAAAGTGCTTTGGGGGCACGGGGGCTGCGGGCAGTACCCTGTGTGAGGTAGGTGAGCAGCATGAACCTCAGCAGGGAGAAACTGAGGCACAGAGGAATTCTCATTATTTTGCTTCCTTTCCTTTTTGTTTTACATCCTCAGCACCAGTGAGAAACAAATGCCTCAGCCCTGGGGAGCAGAAGGCTGCATTGCCCCATTCCCCCTCTCCTGCCCCAAGGTTCCCCACGTCCTCAGGTCAAAGCTCAGCCCCCAGGGGAGAAACACCCCACATCCACAGGGTTGGGCTTGCTGCTTTCTCACTGCAGAAGAAATTAAATATATAAACCCAAAGGATTTCTGTAGGGAAAGCAAAAGGCAGCCCTGAGGGCAGGAGCTGGAGATGCTATTGCCTTTCTGGTCCTCAGCAAAGCTGTGCCATGAGTGAGCACCTGCCTGATTGCTGCTGCTATATTTTTTTATCATTCAGCAGATGGGGGCTGATTTTCTTGCTTTCGAAGTAGGGTGGTTTCCTCCTAAACTGCCTTTTTCTTTTCTTTTTTTTTTCCCCCTCCAGTGCAAAGAAAGCAGCTAACAGGCAGCAAGGTTCCTTCTCCTCCCTTCTTGCTGATGGGCATCCCTGATTCAAAGCTCACATCTCCTTCCCTGGGACCTGGGGCAGGGATCCTGCTGCATCCAGGCAGGAGATAGGCACAAGTCCTATTGAACTCCATAGGACATCAGTAGGGATTTAAGCAGGGATTGAAGGAACACCACCGAGGGCAGAAATGCCCCTTCCCAGCAACCTTTGAAAAAACAAAGCAGCCTCCAAAGAACCTCTCAGCCCTTGGAACAGCACCACAAGGGGAGGCACAGCTCCCAAAGAGGGATGGCAATGGGAGCAGCACAGCAGGGTGGCACTGGGATGGCAGCACAGAAATGGGGGAAAGCATCACAGGTTTCCCTGAGTCACCATCAGGTTTAGGTATGCGTCCGGATCTGGATCTTATCCATGCAACAACCCAGAGGAACAGGACTGGGGGTAAGGAGGGGGAAAACAGATCTTTTGTTTTTTTTTTCTCCTCAACGATACACTTTGCACCAGTTATTAAAAAAATAAAAAATAAAAAATAAAAAATGCTTGCTGTGGGAAAAAAAAAAAAACACAATTCTTATAATCACCGATGTCTGAATAACACTGATCTGTCCAAAGCTGTAAGAAATAGAGAGCCAGAGATGAACACTTCCCTAGGACACAACGGCAGCCCCAGCTGGGACCGAGGCAGCCCACCGCCCACTGCACTGCATCACCCACAGCCCCATGCACCTCCATTTCCATCTTCTCATCCAATGCAGAATGGGTCGTTTTCCTGCAGGGACAAACAGCAAGACGGCACGTAAAGAAAAAAAAAAAGAACCTTTTCAAGCACATAGGGCGAGGTCCGTGCCTGTTATTCGTGAGGGTCATTCCATTTTTCTCTCTCCTCCGTGTGCGTTTCTAGAAGAAAAGTTGGTTTCCATTTGTCTTTTTTTTTCC